CGACATGTAATTGAGAAGTCCGATTTTTTTAGTGATGTTAGTGGCATGTAATAATTACTTTTGAGTGTTAAAGGTTAAGTTAAGCTACTCCTGCATGCCAGACATTTAATCTATCATCAAATCATACAACAAAAATATTTTATATGGTGATGTAAAGTTATCAAAAAAAAATCTGGAATTGCATTAAAAAATCCTTTTGTCCACTGAACAACCATTGCTTGTCTAACAGCATCGTTTACCAAGCCACCGTTGACTCAAATAAACCTCGTTAAAACAATAAAGTATACATCGGGTTAAATGAAACCTCTTTTAAATTACGTTACGCAAACCATCTAAAGTTCTTTAACACAAAAAAATACAAGAACGACATTGAGCTGTTTAAAAAAGAATGGAAATTAAAAGAAAAGAAAAAGGAAAGAAAAGAAAAAATACCTTTAATCAAATTGAATATTGTTAAACGCTGTAAAACATATAATCTCGCGTCAAAAATATGTAAGCTATGTTTAAATGAGAAATTCCAAGTATTATTTTACAAAAGAGACAATCTGCTTAACAAAAGGGGCGAGCTGCTTAACAAAAAGGGCGAGCTGCTTAACAAAAGGGGCTTTATTTAATTTTTAAATAATGACACAAAAAAAAAATTATTTTCATTCTTTGAGAGCGGAGACTAGTTTTCCAATATGCCTATTATTTTCAGTATAATATTTCCAATATATATATATATATATATATATATATATATATATATATATATATATATATATATATATATATATATATATATATATATATATATATATATATATATTGGAAATATATATATATATATATATATATATATATATATATATGTATATATATATATATATATATATATATATATATATATATATATATATATATATATATATATATATATATATATATATATATATATATATATATATATATATATATATATATATATATACATAAACACACAAAAGTCTACAAAAAAAAGTTTTTCTAGTGCATGAGATACTTAAACATATTTTTATGTATTTTTTAACGTGTTAAACAACGTGTTATGTATTTTTTAACGTGTTAAACATATATATATATTATATATATATATATATATATATATATATGTATATATATATATATATATATATATATATAGTATCGGACAAAACAAGTGCAACCAAGTAATGCAAATATAGTTTATACAAAAGTGCTGCATTTTTTCAATTTAGAGAAATAATTATGTAACTGTTTAGAGACAACGTTCTTCAAGTTTTATTCATCACAAAGTTCATTATTTGTACACGAAAACTAATAAATTAATCAAAAGTATTAAAAAAAGTTGATTTCCTTCTGGACAAAACAAGTGCAACTCCACAAAATGTTGACCAAGATCTATTTCGCTATCAATATTTCGTGGCGAATCCTTTGTTGTCGATCACAGCCTTGCATCTTTAAGGCATAGATTCGATCAGGTGATTAATGAAACTTTGTGGAATCGCTGCCCAGGTCTTTTGGATTTGTTCAAACAGTTGATCCTTATTACATACACCTTCACGATTAATTCTGCGGTTGACGATCTTCCACAGGTTCTTGATAGGGTTGAGATCTAGAGATTGAGTCGGTCAATCCATCACCGATAGGTGGTTGTCTTGAAACCACTGCTTGACTACTTTTGCAGTGTGTTTCGGATCGTTGTCTTGCTGAAAAACCCATTTTATTGGCATATTCCATTCAGCATGAGGTAACATAGGATATTTTTATACATGAAACGGTCCATTATTTCATCGATTCAATGTATTGGACCTTGGCAGAAAAACACCCCCGGACCATTACATTGCCTCCACCATGCTTCACAGTCTTATGGCAGTAACGTAAATGAAGGCATTTTCCGGCCGGCCGACGTACACGGCAAATGCCATCGCTCCCAATGATGTTGAACTTCGATTCATCACTGAAAAGGACAGTTCGCCATTTCTGCACATTCCAGTTAATATGAGATGAGCAAACAGGAGTCTTTTCTTCTGGTTCTTTAGTGAAATCAGCGGTTTCTTTGCAGGGCGTCGAGAAAACAATCCGGCTTCAACAGCACGTCGTCTGATTGTTCGGTCCGATACAGGCAGCTCTAATTGCTTTTATATCTCGACTGATAATATCCAGGGATCCTTCTTGATGGATCTGACGATCATAGAATCCTATCTAGAAGTTGTGAAACGCGGTCCTCCACCTTTGTTATCAGCTGCCTACTTCCCCGTAGAACGATATTTGGAACATAGTCTTGATACGGTCCATTTTTTCACGCGATATTTATCACAACAACTTTTTTGTGACATTCCACTTACGTAATCGTCAATAATTTTCCTTCTTAGTTCCAAATCCAAGACTGTCGGGAGCCATTTTTTGGAGCCATTTTTCGATAAAACACTTTGATAAAACTCACTTCGATAAACTGTCTTGATAATACTGACTGATTGACTCCCATATACTGACTGAATTACATGTCGGTTTACTGAACCTGTGTGAAACTGTTCTGGAATATTCTAGATGCTTCTTTTCAATGCTTCTGGAAGCTTCTGGATGCTTCTGAATGTTTCTGGATACTTCTGGATGATTCTGGATGCTTCCAGATGCTTCTTCTGGAAACTTCTGCATGCTTCTGGAAACTTCGAAAACTTCTGGATACTTCCTTTAATTATTAAAAAACTTAAGAAAATGAAACAAACCGAAAAAGTTGCACTTGTTTTGTCCGCTGCAAAATGGCACTTATCAACGAAATTCTGCCTGTGTGCTGTCACCTGTCAGCTGATTGCTCATGTCATGGCATGCTATGACTCCAGACTCCTGAACTGTTTGCTGTGGTAGTATAGTTCGTTTTATTTTTAAGACGTGTAAAATTAGGAACACTTTTTAACATTGTTTGATGTTGGTTGCAAATGTTTTGTCCAATACTGTATATATAATATATATATATATATATATATATATATATATATATATATATATATATATATATATATATATATATATATATATATATATATATATATATATATATATATATTTGTATATATATTTGTATATATATATATATATATATATATATATATATATATATATATATATATATATATATATATATATATATATATATATGTATGTATATATATATATATATATATATATATATATATATATATATATATATATATATATATATATATATTTATATAATATTTATTAAATATATCATATTTTATATATGAATATTATTGGGCGTTTATCATTATTAATTTATAAATTAAATTATATAATCAAGTGAATCGTCTGTAAAAACAACTCTTCATAATACGTCACTTTTAAAGTTTGTCTTACACTAGATTTGATTATATTACAACATTTTCTTAATATCAGCTTAGGAATAAAATTTAAACAAAAGCCTTTCAACCAGTGCTATTTCTATCGATTATGATAAAACTTGCCTGTTCTATTGTTAACGGCATTGAACATTTGTGCTGCATTTGTGAGATAGATAATAAAAATAAAAAAAACCCAGAAGTTTATTGCACTTCTGCGGGTAAATTTATTTAAGTCAACCACTTGTGGGACTCCCATAGGAGCCAGGGCCCCGAGCAATTTGCTTGGGTGACTCGCCCTTTGCACGGCCCTGATCATTAGCTAGGAAGTTAGGTAATAGATTAATATGGTACTCAATTACGCCATGTAAAAGACTGCCTACGTACCAAAATTTAGTTCGATGTCTCCATCCGGTCTTCAGATATTGCAATTTAATGTAAATAAAGCATGTTGCAAAAAAAGTCAGTATAAATAAAGGAGACAATCTGAAAGTTGGAGGTTTCCACTTTCAGATTATTTTACTTTTCATAAACCCTATAACATATACAAACTTGCAAAATTAAAAACATAATGTGCTATCTTTTTAATTTTTTGCTGATTTGACCATATTTAAAATTCCTGTAACATTCTAATTAATATAAGCACATGAATGAGAAATTGCTACAAATTCTACTGTTTCTGTAAGGGTTTTGGTTGAAGAAGCACAAGAATGTTGCAACAAAATTACTAAATGATAGAGTTTAAATCATGCTCAACAACGCCTCAAGGGAAGACAATTTAAGTGTTTTATTTATACGTCTAATTGACCCATCAGATCCAATTATAATTTCACTTTAGGTATAAAATTTTGAAAAAACATATTCTTTAATGAGAAGTTACTGATTTTATAATACTAGAAAAAGTCGATGTATATAAAAGTAGTGTCGGAACGATTATATCTCTATAATCATTTTGTAATTTTTACATCTATAATAATAATTATAGATGTAAAAATAAACTATGATTAGAATAAAAAATGATAACAATGCGAATAATTTTATCTAAAAATACAAAAAACTACGGAAATAATAAAAAAAAAGTTTGCAAATAAAAAAAACAACAACTTTATTTTGTGATCTTTCCTTCAAAGTTATTTATTTGATCTTTTAAAAAAATTTGTGAGAAATTTTATAGTCTATAGTTATAAGAGTTTACTTCGTTAAAACTTTTAACATGACGAAGTAACACAAGACTTACAATAACGAATTAACTTAAAGTGTTATTAATTTACAAGGCCTTGTAAAAATAATATTCACTTGTAAAAACTAATATTCACTTGTAAAAACTAATATTCACTTGTAAAAACTAATATTCACTTGTAAAACAATAAATTTAAGACTTTTAAGGCAACAAAATTTGTTTAAAACGATAGAAATATTAAAAAAAAACTTGCTTTGTTAAAATTAAATAATTATCTCTTATCTCTTGCAGTGCAATTTTTACCAAAAATTTAATTTAACTATTTATCTGAAATTATTGTTTATATATAATATTAAAAAAGGTAAAACATTTTAAGAATAACTTAGCAATAGTGACACCAAATCGGAGGACAGGATACGACGCAGCTGTAATCACTCATTAAAATAATAACTTTTCTCCTAATAGTTTCTCTAAATTTTTAAAGCAGTGTTACATTTACCACTATTGACTATCACTGTAAAACTTTTTTTTTTTTTATTTATGGAGTTTTCTTAACATATATTTTTATACTTTCTAAAAGCAAAATGGCGGAAAAGTCGGATTCGGGAAATGGTTCGTCTGTAGAAGAAAGTAATCATTTAACTGACAAACTAATTTCTAAAACTAATGCAGAAGGAAAGACACAAAAAAAAACTGCTCAAAACGATGATAGTAATTCAAATAAGTTAGAAGATCTGAAAAAGAAAAAGAAAGAAAAAAATGAGTGCGGTGATGATCATACTAAACTTGACAATGATAATAATGAGCAAATTAAAGCTTCCTATGCTAGTGATATACAAAAAGCAATTCAAAAAATGATAATATCTAGTGAAAACAAACGAGAAGAATCAACAAAAAAAAAGTCATATGCTTTTTGGGAAACTCAACCTGTTCCGAAGCTTGGTAAGTTTATTTAATATCAAAAATAATTTTTTTTTCATTATTTAAACTGTTACTTTAAAGTTTTATAATTTAAGAACACAATGTTTTTTTATTATAATTTTATTTATATTAATTTATCGAAAAAAAAAATGAATAGGAGCATATGGTGTAAGACAAAGTCTTTTTCACAATACTCAAGATAAAATTAGTGCATCATTGTACTTGCTATTATACTTGTTTCAATTACCTTTAAGTAAATCAAATGGTAGTAGAACTAAAGGACAGATCAAGAAATAAAAGTCAAGTTTAACTAATTTTTTTATTTTTGGAGCAGCTGACAAGGTTTTTCAAGATATAGATTGTGTAAATGTATTATTTCAAGATATAGGAAAAGTCCCTCATCAAATATCCTCCCTCATTAATTATAAGGTATCATTAAAAATCCCTTAAAAATTTAAACATTTGTGTATTTTGAGTTTATATATTTGAATGGATAAATTCATTTAACAAGGTTGACTAACAGAGTTTAACAAATAGTGATAGGCAGGAATTCTACTTCTCATGAAAATTTTAAGTGGCATATTGTGAAAATCAAAATTAGACTATTTTCTTTTTTATTTTTATTAATGAAATCAAAACAGATTTACTTTCAAATTAACTAATTTGAATATCAAAGTATTTTCTAAAGTAAATAGATCAAATAAAAATTTTAAACTTCAAAAAGTCTGTAAATGCTTGTTAAATGGTTGATTGGATAGTGAATGCAATTTAATGTGAAATGCAAAGTAATGCACTTAAGAAATACAAATTTTAATATTGAATTAAGTATAGATATGGTTACTTAAAAAGTGATTGAGGCTTTAAATATTTTTCCAAGATCACCTGGTTTGTAAACAGTTAACCAGTTTATATAACTTATGCTAATGATAAAAAAGTTTTTGGAATTTGGAAAGTCCAATAAGAATGCAACAATACAAAAACTTTTAATTCATTAAAATATTCCATGCTTTACTTCAATACAATACATTTATGATACTTGGACTTGATTACTTTGTTTTTATTACAATTTGAATTTTTTATTAAAAAAGCAGGGTCATTAGTGAACAACATCAACACTTAATTGGTACTCAAACAGAACACACAGGAAATTACAATAGTTTAAGATTTAAAGAAAACCTGAACAAAAAAAGTTTTTTAAAATTTGAAATTCCTTTTTCAATTAAATTTTATTACTTGGTTTAAAAAAATTAAATTTATTGATCTCCATTTTTCAAAATTTTTTTTATTCATGGCAAAATAATTTTGTTCAAGGCAAAATAATATTGCATGGCAAAACAAAAGTTTTCACCAGCTTTAACGGCACCACTTATTCTTATTTAAATTTTTTTTATGGTTGCAAAAAACAAAGTTTGTATTGAAGTATTGGTCTGGGTCAATGCAATATTATATTCAAACCAATCAATGAAATATATCGGATTATTGCAATATTGTTGTATCCTATTGTCTACAAGCGCTTTGATATTGGTATGAAACTATAAAAATCATTAGTTTATCCACACATAAAATACACAAGACAATACACATCTGCTTATTCAGTTTTAATGCCACACATTTTTTTTAAATATAACATTGGTTTAGTAAAGTTATATTAGAAGTGAAACACCTACTGTATACAAATAAAATTTAAACATCTAGATAGCATCTGATTGTTTATAACTGTTATTAGCATAACTTTATTGCATTATTGTTATGACTTTACCGTGTGAATAATATATATCGGTAGCCAGATTAATATATTTATAAGTGTTATGTTTGAATTAATAATGTAATAATATGATTGCAGTGTGAAAAATAATGGCTGGTCAACTTTCAATGACCACCTGAAATGACTAAAATTGCTATTTTATACCTCCCAAAATGTATTCTTGCTGGTCGTGGTTGACCAGTTTAAAAAACTCAGAGTTTTGAAAAACAGGGTTTGAAAAATGATCAGGATAATTTTGAAAATTGCATTTATTAAAATTTCATAAAATCATTTAAATTTTAAAAAAGCGTTCAAAACTGTTTTTTTGTTTTTTTTTTTTAATTTTACGTATGCTACTTTAATTCACTTTGTTGACCAATTTTAAATGGCGTAAACTGTATATATATTAATTTTTTTGCTTCACTTTTATAGATTACTTTCATTTTACTGGTGGTAAAAATCTTTTTTTAATAAATGATTGAAGTTCTTATTTTATTACTATTTTAATAAAAATATTTAATAAATTATTTAAATAATAATATAGTAATTGTTGTATTTAGAACATTTTTTCTTTCAACTTTACTTTGTGTTTCACTTTGTTTCTCTTTTCTTTGAATCATATTTATTTTATTGTGTTTTTACTGAAAATTGCAAATAATGAATGATTTGTGCAATTAATGATTTATAGATTTAAATTTACAATTAATGATTTATAGATTTAAAAATTACTATTTGCATGTTTTCACTTTTTTTTTTTTCCATAACATGTATATATTTAGTAAAAATCATGTTTTACGTATGTTTTAAGTAATTTTTATAAAGGTGTTTCATAAAATGATTGTCTTCTTTGTTTTAAATAGCTGATTTACATTGTTCTTTAATTTAAATAGCTGCACAGTAGCAAGAGTTAATGACTCTATTGTTAATTAATTAACATAAGCAGTTTTTAAAATGCTTTTTATGAGCAATTATATAAAATGTGCTGTTTTTTTATCGTTGTTAACATTAAAGATTGAAGTTTATATTTTATTATTTGTAATTGTTGTACTAAGGACATTTTCTCCTGCAAACTTTTTTTTTTTTCATTCAATCTGAGGCTCACATATACATTGCCTTGTAAATTAATCAAATATAAAGAGTACTGCATAACATTTCGAGGACCTAAGATATGGAACAGCTTTAAAAATATTTCAATATGATGAAATCAGAAAATTCATTTAAATTTCATATAAAAATTGAGTTTTTGAAATCAAAAGCTATGAAATTTGATATACAAACCTTTTTGATAAACCTTTTTGTTAAACTTAAGTTCTTATATTATGTTTTATTTTTTGTTTAACTTAATTTATATTTATAGGAGTTTATTCAATTTATTATCTTTTACTCTAAATATATAACAGAGGTGCTTATTTTTTCATATTTTAACAGAGTTTTGTATAATTTTTACTTCACTTTATAATTGTTAAAAGCCCAAATAGGGGATCTATGAAAAGATTGAGATGACTTTGGTCATTCATATCTTCTTTGAGTTTTTTTAAACTTGTAACATTAGCTGGTAATTTGAATATTAGCTATTTCCTCTTCCATTTAAAAGTTGTGCTTTGTTTTTCCATTTAAAAAATGGTTTTGTTTAAAATTATTGTTTTAAAAGGAATACAAATTTGTTAATTTTTAAGCATTGAGTTATTTCTGTTTATATCAAATTCAGTCATATAAACTATTACTAATATAAAAATTTTGACCCTCCAAAAAAAAACAATTAACCAGCAATTCCACTTGTTAGGCGGTTGAATTGACCACTCACCTTATATTTCTTATTATCCATGATGTGATTGATTTTGCATAGATGATTCTTAATCAAATACTGAACAGAATAATTTAATTTTATATTAGGGTTTAAGTTAAATTTAAAAATATTAGGGTTTAAGTTAAATTTAAAAAATTTAACTTAAACCCTAATACCATTTTTTAAATAAGATTTTAACTCCACCCTAGTGGTGTCTATGGGTATTTAATATTCACATTGTAGTTTGTAAATAATATTATACTAGCTGCCCCACACCAACCTTTTCTTTACTTATTTCTTACAATATTATTTAGTATATGGTTGAAAAATAACTATATACATATAGAAAAACTATACTTATTATTTATTTTCTAATGCTACAAGAAAAAAAAAAGTTCTATTATAATTAGCTTTAAAACTTTAAACGTTTCGGCAGCCGTTGCGTGAGTCACTATTTACCAACAGATTGGATATTACCTGTCTAAAGCAAAAGGATTTAACCTATGTGAAGCACTTCAATTACTTTGCTATGCTATAATATCTATGCATGCTATAATATCTTATAACACTGTTTAATAAACAAAAGACCTAATAAACTTTATAAAATGGCATTTAAATGCTATAGATCAAAATTAAGGAGATATTGTAGCATTAAAGTTTTCAACTAAAAGTAAATCTGTAAAATTTAATACATTTAAATAATTTGAAATTTACATGTTAGATATTTGCATAGACTATACAAATCATTATGGATTGTGGTTTCAAACAAATTAATATAGATTGTTATATTTGTAAAAAAAAAACATTATGGACATTATACTTAAATGGTTCTTCATCTAAATGTGGGTTGGGTAGTATGTTATAAATGTATCAGTGGTAAAGCAAAAAAACATATCATCGAATACTCAAACCAAAATAAGATTATCCCATTATCATGGGCGTATGAAAATGGTGTAAATAACGGCGGTACATATAATTATCTTTATAATCTGTTTACTGAAAACAATAAACTATATGAAAAATTGATCAATTGCAAAGACCTTTTTTGCAATGGTTCAATCGTGATTGGTTGGAATGATCTTTCTGATGCAGTACGCGAAAAAATTACTGACATATATAATAGTGTAATGTATAAATGAGCTATTTTTTATTTTTTCATTATTTTTAAAAAAAAAATTTATTTTTATTTGACATGTTTATTATTGCATCAAAATATATGATTTATTTTAAAAATTTTATTTTAAAATAACATAATCCAAAAAAAGTATATTATAATCTCAATAAGCACAATATTAAAAAAATATTAAGACTGACGTGTTATTGTAGGAATTGTTTAATCTTTTCACTTATATCCTTATTTTACGTTATCTAAAAAATAAACGTTATTTGAATCATCATTTTTTTCAACAACTTTTATTAGCCGTTGGAGGTCATTTATCAGACAATTGAGTTTTGATTTAACTTGTTTTATCGCCGACTGATTTACGTCATCTTTGGGAATATCAAATATTGGAAACTTTTTTGCAATAGATTTTTCAGGCGCAGATATCCAAAAAAACTTATCATTTATGTTTGTTTTTATAAATCCTCTATTGTCACAGACAATATAATTTGATTTGTCATAACACAGTGCTTCATAAAATTGTCTGAATAAATAAAAATTTGGAAACTTACTGGCATAATTTTCATAAAGTCTTTTCATAATAGAAATGGTATTTCACAGTTTAAAAAAACATAGTCAAAATTAAATCTAAGTTCTAGAGTAATACCTATAGGATATGATTCAATTACTACTATACTTAGTCCATAATGGTGTCCGTTATAAATAATGTCAAAAGATCGGTTTTGTTTGAAAAAGTTTTTTATTTGTCCGAAAGTAAACTGCGCATGCTCGCGTGATTATTTTTTCGTTCCCTTTCCCGTAGAAAAACGGATGAGTGGAAACTCACCTTGATAGCTTTGTAAATTAAAATAAAAACAGTGACAGAGATCCAGGAATTTTAGGTGAGGGGGAATGTTGAAATACATTTGTATTTTGTACCATATTTGTGTCTCCTCAAAAAAAAAAGGTTTTTTTTAAATTTCCGAGAATTTTTTTAAGACTTTAAGATTCTGGTGGGGATAGGGGGATGCATATCCCCTGGATCCATCACTGTTAACAAGACATAACAAATTTTAATGGTTTTCAATTGTATGTTTTTATTCAACAAACATGTCATCTGATTAATCTAAAAAAGTCTATAAAAACAGATTAAAAAATTTAATATACTATTTTAAAGTATATTCAATAATTGTGTTATTTATGATAATGATAATAGAAGATTTAAAGATATTTCAGAAATTTATAAAAGTTGTATAAAAATAAAAAAAATACATCACTTGCACATTTACAATGCCTTAAGCTTTATAAGTATAAGTATAGCTATAAGCATCCGAGTTGACTCTTCCAATACAATACAGAGTATAATACCATTTTGATGGTTTTCTAAATTTTGTCATTGTTGCACAATTTAGAATATTTAACAAGGCCATGGTCAAATAGCTGTAAAACTCTAAATTTCCTTATTACTTTAAGCTTAGGTAATTTTAACTTTTTATTATTTTGAAAAATAATTAATTTGATAAACTGATTTATTTTAAATATAAAATTTTAATTATGTTCTTAATAAAGACATACTTTTTAAACCGACTTACTGTTTTAAAATAAAGTTAATGTCTTCATGTGGCAAGTTCAAATCATTTGGCTTGCTTTTTTTTTTTTTCAAATTTTTGTTATTTAAAATGCAAAACAAAAAAAAATTATATTTCAATAGATTTTATATATACTATATACACACATGTTATATACTCATTTTCCTTGTACGAACTCAACTTAGTTGTAGAAAACTTAAAATGTAAATAGTTTAAAGTTTACGTATGTTAGATATTTGCATATACTTTCGTTCATGTTTTCTTATAAAACAAAGTGATGCGACTCTTTTTTGCCATTACCTTTATGGCAATAGCTGCCAAGGGTTTTGTGTCAAACACGCTTGAAAGGGCTCTTCTTTTAAGTTAAGCAATATTATATAGATTAAAGATGTAATTACTGACTTCATTGTGTTAATTCTATACTTTTACATAACCTGTGTGACTAAGAATCAAATGAGAACAGCCATTATAGTTGTAATTTTATTTTGTTTTTTAAGATGAAGTTGTACCACCTAATATAAATGAAGCAGTTGAAGAGGATAAATCAGAAATACGTCAAGAACCTTTTACTCTGCCTGCTGGATTTGTATGGGATACAATAGTAATATCTGAAGAATCTCAGGTAAATTTTTTAATGAAAATGGTTCTGCTCACTTTTTTAAAATGTGCATTATTTCCCAAATTAATTTCTATAATAATAATATGCTGCATATATTGCGGTAGTGGTGTAGTGGTAGAGCGCTCGCTTCATAAACGAGTGGTTCCAAGTTTGATCCCCACCATGTCCCTGGTAGTACCGCGCTCAACTCATTTCTCCGTGCAGCGGCCTTGTTCATCAAGGTTCGTGTGTCGGAGTTATAGAGTTAAGAGAGGGTTATAACCACAATTAAGTAGCCTCCTCGTCTGTAGTGCAAGGGTTGAATTAATGCATCGCAATTTGCGATATCTGTTAAATTATCTGGTCTTCAAAGTTTCAGTTTATGGAAAACCACGAAATTTACGGAATAGGTGAATAAACTTTAATTTGTTAGTGAAAATGTTATGAAAAACAAAACAATAAATTTATGACTACAAAAGAAATAATGCTACAGTGTTGTTACTTTTATAACACTCTTTTATGTTACATTTATAGTTTATTGTTTGATCAAACAACACATAATCAAGATATTATAAATAAAAACGATTTGGTTAAGTAATTCCAAACTTTAATTAAAGTAGTAATGCATCTTGAAAAAATACAATGGATATTTAAACAATGTTAAAAACCTCAGCAACTTTTACGAATACATATTTTTATAAACAGTTTAGCATTTTTAAACATCTTACTAACGGTCCGGAAAAAACGCGCGTTCACTTTAAAATCAACCAATAAAAACACTGGTAATTTACTTCTTAGGAGAAATCTATATTAAAAGGGGAGAGGGGGGAGGAGGCTATAAACTTAAATTTTGTTTTATTATTTAATCAATTAAATCATAATAAAAGTAAAGACAAAAAAATATATTTCTAAATATACTTCTTTATAACTAAAATTTATTAAATTGAACACCTCTGTTTTTAGTTTTAAGTAAATGTCAGTACTACTCTCAGTGGCGAAACTGCGGGGGAGGGGGCGGAGGGGCTTTGGTTAACAGACAAAAAGTGTCCTGATTTTAAACTAATTTTAGGTTGCATGGGCGATATGGGGCTGATTTTGAAAATCATGTTATTTGTTTATAACAAGTCACTTGTTATAAACAAAAAACTATATCTCAAAACAAAAATTCAGTGAAAATTGGCCTTAAAATTAAAAAATATATATATTGGTAACCGATAAATAATAAAACTTTCATTGTAAATCCTCCCGCTTTTTTTATTATTTCCTCCTCCCATTTTATACATCCTAAAATTAGCTTAAAAATAGGACACTTTTTGTCTGCTACCATCCCCTCCCCTCCCCACTGCAGTTTCGCCACTGAGAGTAGTACTGACATTTACTTAAAACTAAGAACAGAGGTGTTCAATTTAATAAATTTTAGTTATAAAGAAGTATATTTAGAAATATATTTTTTTGTCTTTACTTTTATTATGATTTAATTGATTAAATAATAAAACAAAATTTAAGTTTATAGCCTCCTCCCCCCCTCCCCATTTAATATAAGAAGTAAATTACCAGTGTTTTTATTGGTTGATTTTAAAGTGAACGCGCGTTTTTTCCGGACCGTTAGTAAGATGTTTAAAAATGCTAAACTGTTTATAAAAATATGTATTCCTAAAAGTTGCTGAGGTTTTTAACATTGTTTAAATATCCATTGTATTTTTTCAAGATGCATTACTACTTTAATTAAAGTTTGGAATTACTTAACCAAATCGTTTTTTTTTATAATATCTTGATTATGTGTTGTTTGATCAAACAATAAACTATAAATGTAACATAAAAGAGTGTTATAAAAGTAACAACACTGTAGCATTATTTCTTTTGTAGTCATAAATTTATTGTTTTGTTTTTCATAACATTTTCACTAACAAATTAAAGTTTATTCGCCTATTCCGTAAATTTCGTGGTTTTCCATAAACTGAAACTTTGAAGACCAGATAATTTAACAGATATTGCAAATCGCGATGCATTAATTCAACCCTTGTAGTGGCCTTCTCGGCCTTGAGGAGGTGAATTAAAATTAAAAAATATATATATATATATGCATCAATTTTGCTTTCCTAAACCAAACCAGTTAATATATGTATTGATACTCCCCCCATTACGACTGTTTCAGTATGAGTATTGCTATTTTTATTGTTCTTTTTATAGATTTATAATAATTCTTAATTATTAAATCATAATAATATTTTAGGATTAATAATAAAAATAATAATGATAATTATACTTATTCTTTATTAGTAATATAAATGAGTATATTGATTATATATTGATGATTATAATATAAAACAATATTATTCTTATTATTTTTAAGAATCTTAAAACATTTTTCTTTTGTAACAAATTCATTTCCAACAAAACTGCTTACAACCACTTTTCAATTTTAGAGTAAAGAAATTAAAGAAGAGATTTAGTTTGAGAAGTTTCGAGTTAATAAAAAGTAGAAGGGAGAGAATTCAAATGTATTTAATGGGTTTCCAACCTAAAAAAGAAAAAACATAATTAGAACAACCAGCTCAAATATGACAGCAATATTACACTCCAGGGTGGATAATAGATTTGTTGTTAAGAATTGAGTACGGGTTAAAAAAATGTTGAGCCTGATAGAGAGGCACTAAGTTAACACGGAAAATAGTTTTTTATCAGCATATTTTCAAATGGAGTTTTTCTCTAAAATATCACTTTTAGCAAGATTAATTAGATTTTATTATTGTAATTTTTTTGTTTTGCAATCAGGCAATCATACAGCATAAACTAATAAAGTTTTTATACTAAACTTTTTTACAGAAAAAACTATCTGTTTGGTGATGCAACATTCAGTGATAAAACAATAAATACAATTAAAGTTTTATAATTATATATACAGTAATTCTTATTCCATCAACTTTTCTGTGTATCATTGCAAAGAAATTCCAGTTGAATGTTTTTCAAAAACAACCATTGCAGCCATAATGCTTTCGTTTTTAAATTGAGAAGTAGCATTGTCGCTAAATATGTATACTTATTTGATTCTATTAAGAATAAAGTAAAGAAATTTTGTCAATGCACCGTATAACTGAAGACTTTGTGTGATCAGTTAAATCAGAAACTATAGCAAATATTTTTAACATTTTCCAGACAGCAAAGGTCATGATTGAAATTTAGTTTCTATTAAAATAAGCTGCTTGGTTTGTTTTTCCTTTACTAATGCATGTTTAACAAATTTATCATGCATTATTGGTATGTGCTGTTTAAATGTAACAGAACTGTAAGTTCTGTTACATTTAACTTCTTTGAAATCTTTTTGATGTTTAGATATTTTTTAATTTAAGCTTTTCTTCACTTAAATGTTTGAAAAGTTTTGAGAGTATGAGACTTTTATACATTGGCATGCATGCATTTGTCATAGGCCCAATTATATGTGTACAGTTCACAAAATAAATTTAAAACATTTCAGATCCAACTTAAATTTAAGATGCTTAAATGGATTTCCCTAATGTATCAAAAGCAAATTGTATGTTTTCATGCAAATTATAAACATGAACCTTATGGGAAAATTTTTGTTTACTTTTCGGTCAAGCAATTGAATCCAATATGTTTTGCTAGGTTATATTTGTAATCCTACATCTTCATTATAAAAGTTTACAACTACTAAAACATTATTTTCAGAAAGTCCATACAGCTTTGACCATGCTGGGGTTCGAGGCGTTTTTTATTTACTAGCAGAACTATTTGAAAGAATAAACTTCAGTTTGTTTTTCAAATTGGTATTTAGTAGTCCTTCTAAAACTTTATTCAATGCTTTTCTTTTTTAAACTTTTTTAAAAGTATTTTATAAACTTTTAACAAAGATGAAAAGAGATTTTATTTAAAGCGTGACTTTTTACAACTCTTAGTTTTGCTTTAAGGGAACAAGTTGGTTTTTTATTAGGTTAGTTTTCAATTATTTTTGATATCTTTTAGGCCTTTCTCTAGAATTTTTTTATTTTTATTAGGATTTCAAGAAACATAATTATTTTAATAGTTTGATAAAATTTTGACTTCCTTGAATTATTGCAAGAATATTTTTTTAATTCACTAATTATCTTGTTGAAAGGTTCAGTGATGCAACAGCTTTAAAACTAAAATTTTAAGTTAATATAGTGCTTTTTAGCTATTTTTTTGTGGTTGTTGTTTTTGTTTATTTTTATGTTTAGTATAGCAAACTTTATATATATATTTGTATATATCAAATATTCAAGTGTGAAGTGCTAGCTCCAGACAGTATTGGACTTTTTTTAAATTTTTCTTAGATACCCTAGAGGCAAGTTTTTCGCAATATAGCAAAACAAAAATAAAACTTTTTTCGCCCCACCAAATATATATATATATATATATATATATATATATATATATATATATATATATATATATATATATATATAATTTTTCAAAGTTACGCTCAGTCCCTGTGTAACCTGCTTTGATCAAATCTCTCTATCTGAGGCTCTTAATAGAAAAGGTTTTGCAAAAAGCATAACTTTGTTCAAGGCAATAATGTCGATGTAGTCAGTAGCAACGAAAATATTTTATTCCTAATTAACTTTCCTTATTAAGCTAATTTTCCTGCTTCTATAACTTTTAATGTCCATATAAACAACTTTGCATAAGCAACAACCCTGCCAGATTGCTGAAAAGACTCAAGGATAGGTTTAATTAAGCCCAGTGTTTGCAAGTTTCCAGATTTGGCAAGACACTTGGATTTATTTATTTACATACTTAAATGTGTTAAAAGTCCACAAATTATATTAGCAACTTTCATATAGCAAGCCAAAATTAGTTTAACTCCATTTGCAATAATTAGTGACCAGATTTTTTCAATGTAAGAGTGTGTTTCTGGCCAATCCTATGATATCGCAACAAGAAATAGTCTTTAAATTCTGGTGTCTTTGCCAGTCCTTTAGGTGAGAAGTTGTTTTTGAGGTGGTGAACTGGTATAATGCAGTATCAACAATGCTTAGATGAAACCTTAACCACCATCAAATATAAAAGTTTGGTTCTACTATCTTGCTGCTTGATGTTTGGTTTACAGTTTTGAATAGTTTCTTTAACTGTTGTTTGATAGTATATAATTGTGCATTTATAAGAGTTGGAGAGGTCGATTTTGGTGTGCTATATATGTGCTAGTTGTGGCTGGGCACTACTTTGACCTGAAACCAAAACATGCATATTTTATCTTTATATCAAACTTTGTTCAGAAAGTTTAAAACTTTCAAATTATTCGTTTTTAAAGTGATTAGAAACTTGTTAAAAATTTCTCTGGCTTTTTTAGCTTTTAAAGATTGAATGTTTTTCTTGAACTTTATTTGAAAGAATCGATGGGGCAAACCTTTTCCTTAAGAACAAAGGCATGTGCTGTAATGTACATTTTGGTTCTTTTTCAACAGTGGTTTGTTCTTCAAAGTACTATTTTCCCTTTTATAAGATTTTCATCTGACTGGCCCTCCAAATATTTTTTTTGTCAATTATTTTAGTTATCATATCTAAATTTTCATATTTTTTTATGTATGTTACTTTATAAAAGTTTTTCAACCATTTTTTAAAATTTTCATGCATTTTGACATCAGTTTATACCTTGAAAAATGCTGATATTTTTATGCAATGCAGAAGCCAAGTCAAACTACACTTTAAATATCAAATCAATATTTTGGTCTATAAAATGAAAATAGTAGTTGTAGCAATAAAAGAATTAAAAAAAAAAAATTGTTGGTATTAAAAAGTAGAACTTTCGTGTAACCATTATTTTGAAAATAGTGACCAAATATCACAATTATTAGTACCAATTAGCCATTTGATAAAAATTGGTGCAAATGTATATTTACACCAATTTTTATCAAATTATATGTAGTTGTTCTCATTCTACAGGTGTTTTTGTTGTCACAATATAAAGTCAAAATTTCACTTAAATTGAATATTCAAATCAAGTTATTTTCAATGAACAAAAAGATTAAAAGATTTCAAAGTTATCATCACAGGGTACTTTGATGTGTATACTATCACCCAACATAAGTGGTGTTCTTGGGTCAGCTAGGTTGGCATTATCAGGATCCTTGCTCTGCGGCCACCATATCCTGTTAATCAAGTTATATTGATAAATCTCAAAGAATCTTTTTAAAAAAAAATATGAATATAATTAGTTTTAAATGAGCAAATTTTACAAATTTTTTTAAATAATAAATAGAGGAAATAACTGCTAACATTTAGCTACTCTTTTCTAATATTTTCACAAAATTTTAAGAGAGATTTAAAGACTTTTAAACTATAATTTAGGAAAAAAAAAATTTAACACTTCCAACAATGGAAAAGATAAATTTAGTGTAACATATATATATATATATATATATATATATATATATATATATATATATATATATATATATATATATATATATATATATATATATATATATATATATATATATATATATATATATATATATATATATATATATTATATATATATATATATATATATATATATATATATATATATATATATATATATATATATATATATATGATAAAATAATTTAAATGAAAAAAATACAACTTTATGATGGAACTAATAGTTTCATGCCATTCGGCAATCATCAGCCATATTATTCATGTAAAAAATAAAAACCGTTATAAAAAATACAAAATTAGCGTTGCAACGGCATCTGACGTCAATTGTACGTGATCCGATATTTGCTAATCGCCGGAATCAAAGTTAGATAGTAAAAATTTTTTCCTATGCCTACAAGCAGAAACCAATTCACTTTTTTTGTTGAGTAGTATTCGGCTATCAAAAGTCATAATAAAATACTTTTCATTGATGCAAAGGTTACACTTTTTTGTAGATGGGTTAAAAGATTGGCATCTTTTAATTATGTTCCACTTAATTATAGGCATGTTACCCACGTCTTTAAGTTTCCAGATTTCCTTGGAAAGTTCCGTATCATTCCTATACCTGGTTGCATTAAATGATTTAAGATGGTTTGCAAATCTGAGCTTGAATGTGTTTTCACTAATTCCGATGTAGAATTTTTCAGTATGACTGGTATTAGGTGATTCTAAAGTGGCTTTATAAACAACATTTTTTGATAGACATTGATTATTTAACGGGCATGTGGTTTTATTAATGCAGTTGCAGTTTATATCATTACCGGTAAGTATGTTGCGCAAAATTTGTTGTGTGAATTATTTATTGATCGAATATTTGGCATGCAGCTGTAACTAATTTTTATTGTGTTTCTGTTGAATATTTTGTGGAGCTTATGATGTAATGGAAAATGCAAGTCAATTAAGTTTAAGAAAAGATGTCCAATTTTTGTTATCACATTTTTACTGTAAGGAGGGTTAAACCAAATAATATTTCTTTTTCGTTTATTAGTAATAGAAGAATTTAGATTTGAATGATATTAGAGAATGGTGTGAAATCCAGATTTTTCTAATGCGTCATTATAATTTGGAGCAGTCTTTTGGAATATTTTTTCGCTTGAAGAATTGGAAGATAACCTATGCCCATTACAAAAAAGTGAATACTACTCAACAAAAAAAGTGAATTGGTTTCTGCTTGTAGGCATAGGAAAAAATTTTTACTATCTAACTTTGATTCCGGTGATTAGCAAATATCGGATCACGTACAATTGATGTCAGATGCCGTTGCAAAGCTAATTTTGTATTTTTTATAACGGTTTTTATTTTTTACATGAATAATATGGTTGATGATTGCTGAATGGCATGAAACTATTAGTTCCATCATAAAGTTGTATTTTTTTCATTTAAATTATTTTATTATATATATATATATATATATATATATATATATATATATATATATATATATATATATATATATATATATATATATATATATATATATATATATATATAATATATAATATATATATATGCACTTTCAAATTAGCTGAAGGAACTGTACACATTGCTCAATGAAAACTATGTAGAGGATGATGATAATATGTTTCGCTTTGACTACTCTCCACAATTTCTTCAATGGTAATGATTTTGTATTTTAATTTTTTTTTTTTTTTTTTTTTTTTTGATTTACTCTAATTTTTATTCTTGTTTTTATTTTTTTGTATATCACTTTTTTTTTTCAAGATCAAAAGTTTAGAACATTTTTATAATTTACAAATAAATTTAAAATATTTGACTCAAAATTTTTTTCACATTCAAAATTATGAGTAATAATATGATATATGTGTAATTTATGTTTTAAACCATTTAATTTGTTTTAGTTATAGTCTGTCTTTGTTTCAGCAAAAAATTAAAATAATTATAGGAAAAATTAATGAATTAAAAATAGAAAAACATGCTTAGGTTGCTTTTTTGCATAAACAAGGATTGACACTGACTGTTATAGCTGCACGTTTTAATGTAATGCAAAGCTGCATAATAAAAATATTAAAACAAATTCATGAGACTGGTTGTTTTAAAAGCAATGCCTTTAAATGCAAAACTGGGTGATCAGAGATGACTACTCACAGGGCAGATATTCTTATTCATCTCTTTATATTGAATTTAATAGTGTTGTTAGTAGTAATAGTAGTAGTAGCAGTAGTAAAAGTAGTAGTAGTTGTAGTAGTAGTTGTTGTAGTAGTAGCAGTAGTAGTAGTAGTAGTAGTAGTAGTAGTAGTAGTAGTAGTAGTAGTAGTAGTAGTAGTAGTAGTAGTAGTAGTAGTCTTTTTTGCTCTATCTCTCTCTCTCTCTCTCTCTCTCTTTCTATATATATATATATATATATATATATATATATATATATATATATATATATATATATATATATATAGAGAGAGAGAGAGAGAGAGAGAGAGAGAGAAATATAGATATATATTAGGCCTTGTTTTAAAGTTTTATCCGTAGAGCAATTTATGTACTCCTTAAGCGGTTTTACGTTTTATGTACGCCTTAAGCGGTTTTAATTAAAGTTAATGCTTAACTTAAATCTATTCAAAAATGTTACTAAATGTTGTTCAATATTTAAATTTTATTTGTTCTTAAAAAAAAAATCAGCATATTTATATCACTATTGCTTTTTCTTTTTTCCTTTCTAAACATTTTTTTTTTACTCAAAATTAAATTTTAAATAAACAGTTGCATCAAAACTTTGCACAAAACTTAAATTAAACTTTTTTTTTATAACGCAAGTTAAATCACAGGGATTATTTTTTAATAAATGATATATACAGCAATATAATTTTAATAATAAAATAATAAACTAATAAACTTTAATTAATTAAAATAAATAAATTAACGTCATTTTTTTATCTGTTACTCCCTAATTTTTTTTTAAATAAAAATCATTTGTAGTTGCAAAGCCACAATTAGAAATTTAAGAAATAATCATTTTGAAAATAAAAAAATTTATCATATTTTAATTCATTTATGCAAATGTTGAGAAAAGAATGAAACATGTTAATATCCAACATTTTTAATAATGCAATATTAAATTTAATTATTTAATATTAAAAAAATAAAATAAAATAAACATTCCTTAGTTATAATAAAAAAAGCCGCTAAATAACATTTAACTACTTTTGCAGCAATTAATATTATTGCAGTAATTTAAAAAGTTGTCTTTAAAAAATAAAAAAATAAAGAGAACATTATGGTGTCAAATATCACGTTAAGCTAATGTATTAAGCATTTTTTTTATTTAAATATATATATATATATATATATATATATATATATATATATATATATATATATATATATATATATATATATATATAACAACCCTTGGAATTAGGGTAGGCATTTGGCAATGCCGACTTAATTTAAAATTTTTTATTAGCTCTATATATGCAGAAAAGGTGTGCATGATAATTTTTTTTTTTGCTCTTAAAGCCATTTTTTAGAAAGAATTATTTTACTAAAAAATATTGAAGTAAATAATATGTATAGAAATGATTGGTGAGGCATAAATAAGTATAGAAATAGTCAGTTTATTAAAAACTTGTATTTTACTGGTCTGGAAAGCTAGGATATATATAAGGAAAAAGTATAGATAAGCTCAGTGTGGAATAGACTTACAAAGACCCAAGTTTTATGGGTCTGTTTAGCTAGTTGTTATTCAAAAGTGTATCTGATTGCCAGTTCTGTTGAAATTTCACATAAAGTAGTCCCCTCTGGTATTGCACCAAGTGTTGCAACTATAAAAAAAAAGAAGTTTTTGCAAATAATTTCATTTAATAATAATTAGATCATATGGCCTTCTATTAAAAATAAAAGGACTGGTCAGCAGAAGATTAGGAGAATGTAATATTTATTAACAAATCATAAATTAAATAGTTTGGTTGTCATTAAACGACTGTTAGACCCTTGCCTAGAAAAAACAACCCCAATATTTGCTTTCCACTTTTAAACATTGCCCCAAGATCATAAGGAATGCCATTACAGCCACCCAAAGTGTTGGCTTGTTGTTTATGGTTTCCTATACCACAATAAGTAACCATGTTTAACTTGGAATATATCATGAATAGCTTTAAGTATTTGTGAATATCACAAATATACACAAATTTCATCATGATGGAGCCCCTGTCACAGGACCAAGCATGTAAGCAGTTAGTTACATGAGAACAAGATTGGAGTCATTGGACCCTGGCCTGGTAACTCACTCGACCTTAAACTTATTGAATAAGTCTAGTAACTGAGACCCTTATTTTCTGATGATTTACAAGAGAAAACTAAGCAGGTATGAATTCACCTTATGAGTCATAGATGCTAGAGTAAGTTTATTCACTCTATGCTTACCTTATTAGCTAATTGTTTAAAAGCCCAAGGACACCACACCAAGTATTGAATTGACAAGCTAACATTTACTAATATTTTAAAGTTTTTCTTTTTGTCATTTGTGAATATTTTAATGGAAATAATGTTTTTTATACTGTTCCAAACTTTTGATCATGACCGTACTTTTAGTTTAAATGTTTTGCATATATGTTTTTAAACCACAGGGCTTTGAAACCACCTGGCTGGAAATTACAATGGCATTGTGGTGTCCGAGTGGCATCTAACAAAAAACTAGTTGGTTTCATAAGTGCAATACCTGCTCATATAAAAATATATGATAAGTATGGTGTGAAGTTTTTGCTTATTATAAGTCTTAATTTTATTGAAAAAATTGAAAAATTTATTTCAAAAATAAATAAAAAAATATTCATTTAAATATAATAAAAAAACTTTTTTTAGAAATGTGAGAATGGTTGAAATAAATTTTTTGTGTGTGCATAAAAAGTTGCGTTCTAAGAGGGTTGCACCTGTTTTAATTCGCGAAATTACTAGAAGAGTCAATTTGGAAGGCATATTTCAAGCTGTTTACACTGCTGGCATAGTATTGCCAAAACCTGTTGGTACTTGTAGGTAGTGCATAGAAATAAAATTAATTTTTAAAACAATAAATTTCTTTTTTTATCATATATATGATTTATCATTTACTTTTTTATTATTTATATGATTTATAATAATCATATAATTTTTTTATGTTTTATTTGGTTTATAAAATTATTTCATTTATATTGTATATTTTTTCTAATTAGTTTTTGTCTATTTTGTTCTAGATTTAGCATTTCTGTTTTATGACAGATATTATTCTATTTTATTTTAGATATTGGCATAGATCAATTAATCCAAAGAAACTTATTGAAGTAAAGTTTTCACATCTTCGAAGAAACATGACTATGCAAAGAACTATAAAACTTTACAAATTGCCAGAAGTATACATAACTTTTTGTTTTGTTTACTTTTATTGTTTTATTTAATAACTGCTTACTACCCTTCAAAATTGAATAGATACCAAAGTTCTCTTTTTAAAAAGGTTTTTTTTTTGGATAATGTAGTTTTATTCTTTAGCAACTTATTTTGTTTTAAGAATATTATAAAAGTTAATTTATATTCATTTTATATTCAAAACTTAGAACACTAAAGCATCTTTATCACCTTTAACTCCAGCTGATTTAAAGAGTGCATATAAAATAGTTTTCGAGGTAAAATATTTTATTAGTATAAAATTTTAATTCTTCATAATTATATAATTATTGTATTACATTTATTTTAATTATTGTCTTATATTTGTTATGATTATTATAACTATAAAAATAAACATACTTAATAATTAGTAACTTTTTTTTTAATTTAATAAGCAAATAATGTAAAGTAATGTGAAACCTGCTTTAATGATTTTAATCTAAAAAGATTTTTGCTCATTAAGATGTTGCTGTTATTATTTTTATTATTATTCTTACTATTTTTTGTTATTATTATTATTATTATTATTATTATTATTATTATTATTATTATTATTATTATTGCAATTACTACTACTGTCTCTATTACTAATAATGATGTAAGTATTGTTTTGTAGTATTTGAAGAACTTTCAACTAGCACCTATATTTACGGAGGTAATTTTTTTTTTTTTTTTTATCTGAAATCATGCAATCTAATTAGTTTATATATTTTGTCTTGTTTTAAAATTTTCTTTTATTTAAATCACTAGTTATATTATTGTTTAATGTTTTTATATTATTTTTATAAAATTCTTATTTTGTCATGTTATTTATTTTTTCTAAATCTTGTCATTAAATCGTCATATAAATATTGTCATAAAATTGTCATTTATTTTTTATAAATCTTTCTTATTTGATTCTTATTTGATTTATTTTTTCTACAATAAATCCATTATGTTTAAAAAATTGTTTTAGTTTAATTGAGCTTGCCTAACCCTTATTGAACTATTTTTAGTATAATTGAGCTCGTCTAACCCTTATTGAAATACTTCTTTATAAACATTAAAAAAAAAACCTTTTAATAAGTTTTTTAAAAAACAGTTTTAAAATTAATATTCTAGCTTGAAAAAAAAAATTTTATAAAACTGATAGAGAAAAATGAGGTCAAATGGAATAGTTAAGGATTTTAATTATTAATTTTTTATGGAAAAAAGATTTTTCCTTTTTTTTTTTTTAAAGTTGTATTGAGCTGTATTTAAATATATAAAAATTTAACAATTTATTTGTAAAGTATTTTATGAAACTTTATTTGAAAAAAAAAATTTATTCTATTCTACATATTTGGGAAGAATGAAATACTCAAATATAAGTGTAATTAAAACAACACTTTATTAAAAAAAACAAAAAGCAATCAATAATATCAATTAAAAAAACAGTCATTAATAACAATTAAAAAAATGAATCAAATCAAATAAATTTTTTTATTCTTGTGATGATGTTGAGTCGTTTAGAAGTACAGGCTTTCACAGGAAGACATGCGATTTCACGTCTTTATATGACCATGCAAGTTACATTTTGCTATGACGGTTTGACCGCCGTTAATTCAAAAAACATTATAGAAATGCGCTAAATAAAAAATATTCTAAAAACGTGAAATTAATTACATCAAAACTTCTTAACAAATGTTTTTATATTAGCAAAATGATTTTTAATAAAGTAACAATTTACTGAAAAAAAGTTTTGTTTTTTAAATATAATTGACAGTTGTATATATTTTTTTAATTTAAAACATATAAATTGTTTAAGTGTTCATTTCTAAAATAAATCTTATTAAAAAAAAAAATTGTTTTGTTTTTATAAACGATGACATTCTACGACTACGAAAGTCTCTTTAACGAATTTAAATATAAGAATGATTAAAGTTAGTGCATTTAAAAAGATAAACAAAATTTCGTTAAAAAAAAAAGTTTCAGAAAACCGTTACAATTTAATAAGTTTGATCTTAAATGCTTTTATATTATCGAAATGCTTTTAATGAAGTAAAAAAAAAAACACTTCTAAGTAATTTTAAAAAAAGTATTAATAAAATATTTTTTCATTTTATTTATATAACTATGTATTTTTTATGAGAAATATTTATTTTTTGAACATATTAAATAAATAAAAAATATATTAAAATGTTGAAACAAAAATTGAAAAGGTTTTTTAATGTGTAAATTAAATAGATTAAGCATTTTAGTTTGATGAGTTTTGTTTTAGTTGCGTTATATATATATATATATATATATATATATATATATATATATATATATATATATATATATATATATATATATATATATATATATATTTTTTTGTTCAAACATTTTTTTTTTGTGTGGTCATATAAAGACGTGAAATCGCACGTCTTCCTGTGAAAGCCTGATGTACTAGAGGTTGAGTTAAGTTTTCACTTGTGCGGCACTTTTTGGTACAATAAAACTCTTTTTTGGTGTAATAAAAGCTTTCGTATGCATGTTTGACATCTTGGCACATATATATACATCGAATCTTGGCACATCTAAATTTTTTCTTTTTTTATGTGTCAACATGTTGGATACGAAACATTTGTTGCAAAGCTGCTGCAAGTGATTGGGCTGATTGCAGTTGTTTTACAACCTCTTTTTGAAGATTTCTTTTCTTCAACCCACAACACTCCATTTCTGTTTTTAACTTGTAACGCTTTTTCCTAAATAGAAAATATAATTTTGAAAACAGATTCTTGATCAGCGTAAAAATTTGCACAAGTAAACATTTTAAGTTCAATTATGCCGAATTTAATTTCCAAGAGTTTTAATTTCCTTTTTTCAAACAAATAAAAAAAATCATATTATACTTTCGAAAACTTATAAATTTATAACAAATTTTTTTATTAAAAATAAAATTTTATACAATCTTACTCAGGAAATATAATTAAAAAATGTTTGCAAAAAAATTATTTAGTAGTTAATTAAGAGCGAAAGAATAAACATAAATATTTCATTCTATTCGCTATTTAATTTTACCCTGTTTTACTCTACTTCAAATTAAGAATATCAATTTTTTAAATTTCTTTTTTTACTTTTTTTTTTTTTTTTTTTTTTAATTCTTTACATTTTTAATTTATGTTTTGGTATTAATTTTTTTTTTAATGTTACACAGTGGGGTGGTTCCATACAAGGATGGCTAAAATTATTTATTTTGTACCTGCATAAAGCTAATAATATTTTCTATAAATACTTATATTAAAGTATTAATGTCCAAAATTTCACATAATTTAAAAAAAAAAATTTTTGTAGTTTCAGGGAACTTTTATATTATTTATTACTTATTATTATAGTACTTTTACTATAAAACAAGTTTAAGTGCATAGAATTTTTGTTTAGGAAAGGGGGAGTGAAACACCATAATATTGTCTAAAATGGTTTTGCTAAATTATTATTTTGTCTAAATTGATGTTGCTGATTCCTTTGATTAAGGTCTTTTTTACTTATTTGTTGTATTGCTATATTTTTTAATAATAAGATTGTTAAAAACTCACTATGGTTCAAGTCAGGAATCATTAGTGTCTTTGAAGATTTTTCTCTTTATCGCAAATGTTATGGTAAAAATGATTATAACTTTAAAATGCTTTAAGATAATTATTTGAAATTTAAAAACTGGTAATAAATTTAATTAATAATAAATAAATTTAAGTTTAGTATTAGAATTAAAATATTTTATTATTTTATTAATATTGTTATTATTATCTTTAATTATTATAATGAACTCATTCTTTATTTAGACTAGCTAAATTTTTTGGGATCTTTTTAATCCTAGACTCCAATCCACTAGATTAAAAATAACTAAAACCAATAAAAAAAAAAACTTTTCTTTATTCTTTTTTTATTTTTATTTTATATGTATGGTTTGTTTGTTCAATTGAAAATGTAATCATTATCTAAAAAGATTACTACAAACTAACAATAAAAAAGTCTAGTCTTTATGTTTAAAAACAGCATTTTAAAAAACTTTAATAAATATAAAGTTTGTCCTGGAGACTTATGGTATTTTTTTATGGAGACTTATGGTAAATTTATTTACTTATTTCTTTGTTTGTAGACCAAAAATCTTTCTTTCAAATTTAGGGCAGCTTAATGTTTTAATGTCATATCTTTCAAATATTTTAATATTGTATAAAATTTAAAACTTATCTGTGTATTTCTTCTTTTGCTGGTAAGTGTTAAGTAAGATGAAACTACTTACCTATCAAATAATTCTGCCTTGTTAAGTTGTATAATGTTAGAGAAGATCTCATTCAGTTACTCCATCATTCACAACCATTCTTAAACACACTTTGGCTCAATAGAAGATACCAGTTTTAATAACTCATTTGATAATGGAAATTTTGTTTACATATACTTGGCATCACTGTCAAATGCTTTTTTTAATATGCATACAATCAGCTCTTGTATAATTAAAAGGCTTTACATTTTTCACAAAATATCATTTCTAAGAGATTCTCAGAATTAATATTTTTATACCATATATCTACTAAATGTGTAATACATTTTACAATATGCTTTATGACTGTTACATGTTTGTTGTGTTCAAATCATGCAAATCACATGTTTGTTGTGTTCAAATCATGCAAATCACATGTCTGTTGTGTTCAAATCATGCAAATCATTTTTCTTCCACTACTAGTTCAATTAAGCTTAAATTTTTAGAATAGGGGAAAATCTGGTAGCCCCAGATGCCGGGTAACTCTGGACACTTGATGTACAGCTTCAACTAAAGAAACTATGTGACTTTAAATACTATAAAAACAGTATTTGAGTGAAAATATATAATACGCAAAATATCTATCATAATTTGCCAAAGCGATTGACTGGGAGTGCAAGATATAGTTTTCCACCACCAGAAGTGTGATGTATCATCATACTTGATTTACGTAATAATATATCTAATTTTTATGTAAACTAATAACTTTTTATTAACTAAAGCTACATTTTTATTTAAAATATTAAAAAAAAAATTGTTTAATACTTTAATTCATTGGTTTTAAAACTTGTATTTGTGAACGAGGTGGTATGCGACACATGTTTAGAGGGTGGTTCTGGACAACTTAATCCATTAACATATTAAAATTGAGCAGCTTTTTTATAAATTTAGTAATACATCTGATAATATTAATACGCTAATTTAATAGTAGTAGTTAATAGTCGACTTACGTCATTTTCTAGGCTTTTCTATTTTAAAATAGTTTCTAGGTTTTTTTATACGCGGGTTTTTTTTTAATTTTATTTACTAACAACCCCTATTACAGGTTGCTTACTGCTAGTTTAATATAATCACAAACCTTTAATAGTAATTCATTTATTTCCAATAAAAATACCTAAGATTTGAAAAATGGTTTTTTAAGTGTTTATTTTCATATATATATATATATATATATATATATATATATATATATATATATATATATATATATATATATATATATATATATATCAGAGGCAATTTTTTTAATGTTTTAAAAACATTCAAATGCTAATTAATGATATATTATAGTGTACATTAATGATATATTAATGATATATTACATGTGTAAAAAAGAGGTAAAATCATAATTAAACTATGTGTCCAGGACTACACTTTAATTTTGAAACATGCCTTTTTTCTAACATTTTTTCTTTTATGTTTTGTATAATGTTAATGTGCGCAATAATTATTTTTTTGTTGCTAATTAATTATCAATAGATAAATTTTTATACTTTTAAAAAAATCTTTCTACACTTTTTTTTCTGTTAGTTCATGTGTACAATCTATTTTTTCCTTAAGTTTCCGGGGCTACCTGACTGTCCCCTATGTGTAATCTGAATGAAAATATGTCAATCTTTTTCCAAATTTTAAAGTAATATAAAATTACCAAATTTTTAAATTACCAATTTTAATAAACTATTTTGTTAATTTAAATATGTTACTAAATATGAAAAATAGGTCATACAGCTATTTTATTTAAGAATTAGTTAAAATTCTACTATAACTAAAGTTTTCGAATTCTTAACACATATGGATTTTTAAAAATAAGTCTAGATCAACATTAAACATGAAAAATGACAATTTGTGAGTATACTGCTGTGTTATTCTCAAATCTTGACATAACAAATAGTAATTTTTTTTAAGTTCAAAACTGCACATAAATTATGTAACAATCCAACTAGAGACATTATTTTTATCATTACTGACATGTGTAAGCATTAGGTTATTGATATCAGAATTAATCGAATTATTTTTTATTACCTAACTGAAAAATTCTTCAAAAAAGATGCAGGTCTCTCTTTGTAATCTCTTCAATATGATAGATTTAATAACAATGTAATTATAAAAACTATCCTTATTATTGTAATTTATGAGCATGTATCACTAGGCTGTAGACAACTTTTTTAGATGTTTGAGCTAAGCAGCTTTGAAACATGAAAAAAAATCTCCATATTTGAGTACCTTCATATATATGAGGAAGTTATCTAAAAAATTGTGGTGATTAGAAACAATAAAAACCCTAGAGCGTTAGTCCTTGGCCTTAAATATGAGGGCAATTAGTTAAAATTGTTTTTTTGTTGTTGTTGTTTTTTTTTTTTGCAATCATTAACCAAATTTGTATTCATTGACAAATTTTAAATTTCATTTATTATTCTCTTAGTGTTCTGAAATAATGACCATGCAAAATTTACACCACCATCCTCCCCCCCCCCCCTCAATTTGAGGGGGCTGTCAACTTTATAAGGTCATAAATGCCAAACAACAAGAGATTATTGAATCAAATATGAAATTTATTGATGAATGTAAATTGAATTTGATATTGAAAAATAAATAACAACTTAGGCTTGTTGCCCTCATATTTGAGGCTGGAGGGGCTAACTTTTTAGGGTATTTGTTGTTCTGAGTCTCCAATCACCACAATTTTTTACATAACATCCTCTTTCCTCATATATATGAACATAATCAAAAATGGAGTTTTCCTTATGTTTCAAAGTTGCTTAGCTCAAACATCTAAGAAAGTTGTCTACGGCCTTGTATCAAGTATAGCTGAACTGTCATATTATCTTCCAAATAGAATGTCAGATAAGTGTTGAACTTAAGACACGCCTACACTAAAAAATTCAAGATTTAAAAAATTTATTGAAATATGGAGAATATTCAATAAATTTGGACTTAAATTTCAACATAAATACAAAAATATTTGTAAAATTTCTATTGATCGCACCATTGGTGAGATCAATTGCGTCTTTTTCTGAAGTTGATTTGAGCTTGATTGGTTGAATATTGGAATAAGTAGTTCCAAAGGTTAGATTTTTTTTTATAAAATAAAAATTATAAGATAAAAAGTTCCAACAGAGTTTTGGTTACAACTTTTACGAAATTTTTTTATTATTATTATTATTAATAAGGCCCTAGTATTTTTATGGAAGTTTAATAAACTAAGTGAAAACTCAACAAAACGAAATTTCAGTTTTTGCTATACTTTCTTGCTTGATTACTTCAAATTCTTACTTAAGACTTATTAATAAAGGGATGTTAATCAAAAAAGGATATTAACCATATAGGATATATAACCAAAGGATATTAACCAAATTGATGGATATTAACCAAATAACTAAAACGCAGCATAAATGAGTGACAAGCTTGCATTTGCTTGAGTTGCAATACATAATTTGTGATTTTTTTAACTCCGACTCAGACTTAAGTTGATAAACTTTAAAATTGACATTCTTACAAAAGTTTAAATTTATAACACTTTGCACATTTGTCCAAAAAGGGGTTCTAATCTTTTTGGAAATGACCCAAAAAATCCCTTTGAGGGATGATTCTATAGGTTATAGTGATCACTTTAATAAAAAAATCTTTTTATTACATCCGTAAAAGAAAATTGCATTTCAAAACTGATTTTTTGATTGAAAGAGCCAAAAAGATTTTTAAGTGTAACATTAATTTCAATGATAAAAAAATTCCAACTGGCATTTACAATTCCTGTAAAAGCAAACTACAACGACTTGATACTGTTAGTATTATTGGACAGATACCAGACTTGTACAATTTTAATTCGATTATCATTAAGTCATCTACAAGATATTTTGGTACTTGCCCGTGTATAATTAGTAGGGTGGCCAAAGCAAAGCTCAAAGAAAGTTTGCCACAGATTGAGCTTGATATATTGAATCAAAAAATAAAAATATTTGTAGTATTTTTTTTTTCAGTACTTGCCAAAGGACATCCTCACTTTTGTACTATAGGTACATGTACAGAAACTTACCATAGAGGACTGTAAGTGTGCTGAACAAATAGCAGCTGATCTCTAAAAAAGATGCCTTTTCAGGAGATACTGTCAAGCATAGTCGAGCAAGTGGGGGTAAATCTTTAAAAGTTCTGCCTGGACATTCAGCGAAGTACAAGCTGCAGGTATTTACTGCTGAAACATTGGTCCAAGTTCAAAACAGTACAAATCTTTCCAATGTTGGTGTGAAAAGGCTTGCATCAGCTCTAAACAACTCAATGGAAAAAAGAGCTGTAGAGGCAAACATGAAGCGAAAACTTGACAACCTCTGGAAAAAATTAGCAGATTTTTTCATGATGTCAAATGCTGTCATTCTGGACAAGAAATGAAAATCCAAGTTCGAAGATTTGTTCACTGCAAGAACTTGAATGCCTTATTCAAACATATTGTCTCAGTAAGAAGACTTACATCACATCATTTAGTTAAGTTTGAAATAGATGGAAGTGGTTCATTCTTGAAAATTACCCTCAGCATAATTGACACATATTCCAAATAAAGTTATACTCAAGGATCATCATGTCTCCAATCAAGTTTTTCTGCCCAGGATGGTGGTGTTAAAAAACAGCTAATTGTTGCTGCGGCAGAAGGTATTCCTGAAACATGAAAATCCTTGGACAATATTAGGTCTTATACAAATTGAAGATGTGTCTTACATAATTTCATGTGACATGAAAGTTGCCAACATTTTATGTGGTATCGAGTCTGACTCTAGCAAACACCCATGCTGCTGGTGTGATGTCGAGTCTGACAACCTTAGAAACTCTGGCCAATCAAGAACATTTAGTTTTTTATGCAACAGTTATGTTAGATTCCTCTCTTCAGGCACAAAACTTCAATCAACTAAGATTTATTTAAATGTTGTTCATCCTCCATTAATTAACCCCTAAAGGCGATCTGAGCTTATTTTTGATGTAATTCCTCAAATGGGATTCCATCTTTTTTTTTGGAATTTTCAACCATATTTTCAAGCAACTCCTGGGGCTCGGAGTTTTCACTTAGCAAACTGCTTAATCGATGCATGTCAAATTCAAAATCCACTGGCAAAGGTTTAAAAGGCAACCTTCTTATCCTGAATATTGGGACAAATTTCTGAGTTGTGTTATTGATCTTAACAGCAAACACATTTGAAATTAAGTTGTTGTGGGTCAGGAGAAAAGTCTCAGTCTATTTTCGTATATTTTCATGTATGTAATTATTCATTTTTGTCAGAAGATCTACAGTCTCGATATCAAAAGAATATCTAGTCTCAAATTTGTATTGGTTTAAACTATTTTGTAATTCAGTGTATTTATATTTAGAAATATCATCTTTTTGAAAAAAATTGTGTTTTAAATAATGCTATTTCTTAAGAACAAAATTTTAATATCAATTTCTTTTGATTTTTTATCCTACTAAAAATATATACTTATATTAAGTTATTTATATTTGAACTTTGATATTTGCCCAACCTATTTGTTCAACCTAAATAATTGTGCAGATATTACAAATTTATATTACAGGAAGAATTTGCACATTGGTTTTTACCAAGGGATGGTGTCATTTCATGCTATGTTGTCAAAGTAAGACTATTTTTAATTATCTTTATTTATCAAGGTAATGATGATGATGATGATGATGATGATGATGATGATGATGATGATGATGATGATGATGATGATGATGATGATGATGATGATGATGATGATGATGATGATGATGATGATGATGATGATATGAGAATCATTGAATCTTTTAAATTATTTGTTGTTTTTTTTACTTTAACAATTGTAGGACATAGATTCTGGCAATGTTACAGACTTAGTTAGTTTTTATCAGCTTCCGTCTACAGTAGTGGACCATCCTAAATATAATTCTCTAAAAGCTGCATATTCATTTTATAACGTGGTTACAAAGCATGATCTTACTTCAATAATGAATGATGCTTTAATTCTGGCTAGAAATGTATAAAAACAATTTTTTTTTAATTTCTAATAATTTTGTTGTGTGTGTGTATAAATTTATTTATATTCATGTATGTATTCATGTATACGGTTTACTTTTTTTTAGAATAATTTTGATGTTTTTAATGCATTAAATTTAATGCATAATGAAGAATTTTTAGAAAAATTGAAGTTTGGTATAGGCGACGGAAATTTAAACTATTATCTTTACAATTGGAAATGCCCATCAATTGAACCATCTAAGGTAAAATTGTATTTTGATTTTTTGATGTTAATAATAAACAAAACTTACAGTGTAAAATAAACATAACTCTCATTAAATTCAAGGTATGTGTTTTTTTGTTTTATATTTTTGTTTTGTATTTTTGTTTTGTTTTGTTTTGTGATTATTTTTGACTGTTTAAAGTTTTTTTTTTAGACTGGATTAGTGTTACAATAAATGCAAGGTAACTGTTTTCAAGGTTAAAAAACATTAAATCGAATGAAAATCATATGTAAAGGTAATACGAAACTTTTATATTAGAAAGAAATAGCATCTGGTGCAGAAACAGTCAAAGTTGTAAATATTTTAAATTTGCAACATTTCAGAGCTTTATAGTTTGTTTTTTTTGTTGTTGTTGTTTTTGTTTGTTTTTTTATTTGCAGTATTTATTTTTTAGTTGTTTTTTATTGAAAATTCTGAGCAAATATAATAAATTAAGCAGTGTAATTTAAAAATCCCTCGATAACTATAATAGGTAATATAAGTTTGATTTAAAAAAAAAAACAGAGTGAAATAGAATTTTTATTTTGTGATTTTAATGTTTTAATTTATTTTATTATTTCTTTTTTTTTATTTATTAGTATGATTTAAAGTGAAATATAAATAGTTTTCTTACAGCTGTTATATCATTCATGACATAAAATTTCAGATTTGACAAATACGTTGTTGTTTTTATTCTTTCGAAATAAACTTTTTAACGTTTATAATTGAAATTTTTAATTGTATTTATTGAAAAGTTTTTAATTGATATTTTAAATTGCTCTTATTAAAACGCTTTTAATTGACGCTTCCTTGTTATATCCTTACATCAATAGTTTACATCAATAGTTGCATTATGTATTTTTACGTCAGTTTGCTTTCTTACAAAAGCCTTCTATAAAGAAGGCTTTTTCACGGTACTAAAGCCTTCTTTAAAGAAGGCTTTAGTACCGTGAAAAAGCCTTCTTTATAGAAGGCTCTTGACACCGTGCGAGAAATTTTTTGACTGAAGGCCAATTTAAGAAAAAATGGCGGATTAGTGAAAGTTATACAGCATTGCTAAGATTAAACCTACAAATGGTTAACAGTCTGTTAGAAAAAATTCAAAACTTCTTATTGCAAACATAGTTTATTGAGGTTAATTAACAACTTTTTAATAACTTTTAAAATGCTCGTAAAGTTAAATAAAAACGTTTTTAATTGAGATTTTAAATTTAAAAGAAATAATGTTAACAAAAAAAACTTTGTACTAAATAAGAAAAAAACGTTTACAGAAACTTAATTTCTTTGAGTTTAGTTTCTTTATTACTTTTGGGAGTGAAGTAATGCAAAACTCTTTCAAAAAATGTTTGCCAGTGGTGCTTAGCATTGTTTCTTTGAAATAGAAAATCTGTACAACTCTGCAATTAATGTAAACTGTCGAATCAGAGATGTTGTGTAAACTCTTTTATCTAATAAAGAAAAAAATATATAGCAAAATAAAGTACATGGAGATGTGTCAAATGAAATGGTTAAAGAAAATAGTTAGTCCTTCTCTTTTTAAAGTTCTAAAATAAGTTCCATATTTTTCAAAAAATGTAGTTGTATCATCTCCAATTTCTTCAGTGGAACGCTTTTGAACATTATCAACAATACAGACAATAGAATATAAAGTTTCTATTTTTATACAATCTTCTAGATCTGCTAAATTGTAAATAATATCAATTTCCCTATCATCTAAATCTTCAAGACATATTAGACAGTCATGACCATCGTTTCCTTCCACACCAATATTTAGCTTCAGCACCAGCTTAGCATGTTGATTACGTACTTTTTCAATAACTGGTTAAACTGTTATAAAATAAGTACCACCTGATCCTTGACGTAATTCTCCAAAGCATTTTTTAATCAGATCAGAAGAAAACCAACTTTAAATTAAAAAAATTACAGTCATTTCCACTTGATAAAAAATGGCAAGAAAATCAATTAGGTCACAACAAATAATGTGAAAGTGCACTGCTTGTATCTTTTGTAAGCTGGCCAACTCGTTTACCAGATGTTTCATATTTTCAGTCATTGTTGCAATAGTAAGCAATTTTTTAAGTTTGTGTCATCTGAAGATATGATTGCATTACGGGACGTATCTCTAAGATTTGCACCAGGACATTTAACATTCACTGTTTTCCAAAAATCTGTAATTAACTCCGAAAAAAATAATAGTACTCTTGACACTATCTTGGTCTAATTTAGGATGATGTAATAATAAAATATATTTGTTTTTTCTTACTGTCTTTCTGAATATCTTTACTCAATATATATACATTTGCAAATACCCCTGAGAGTATAATAAACAGTATAAACGTTATATACAATATAATATATACGACGCGCCCACAACATTCCTTCTGACGCAACACGTTAATAGTTTATATATAATGCAATTATTTACACTAATTACAACACCCCTTGATCTCTAGATCACAAAGTCCGCATACTTATTCGGAAACTTCCGCACACGCGTCGATTTTCTGAGATTCAGGTTGTTCGCGGTGGGTTCTTCCGGTTCTCTCGTAGACAAGTCAGCTACAATGGGAGCTGGACGGACGTCCGACATGTCTCAGCAATCCATTGATTTCTACCGAAACTCCTCGTCCTTCACCTGAGACTCTTCCTCTATTCCATTTGCTATTACATTTTGAATCAGGTGGTTTTACAAATACTTCTTATCCTTGCGTGTAGTTGTGGAGAACTTCCTCGTTAGTTTTGGCAAAAATTGTGTACAGTTTCAACTCATAGGAAAATATAGCTTTGTAGCGGAGCGATGTTTCCTCGCCATTTTTTCTGGGAGTCACGTTATACCAATATACCAATTTTAACGGATCTTTGCCACTTCTTGCTGCCATGCGCTTGATTGTGCGATGGTGACGCCTACAGGCTATCTGGAAATTCCATTTCCAGATAGCCTGTAGGCGCAACGAAATAGGATGGACACTCCCCATTCTGCGCATAATTCACCAACGAGTTTTGAGCGAAAGGTCTTGCTGTTGTCAAGAAGAACTTGCCATGGAGGTCCTCTTTCTCGAAATATTTCTTCTAGATGGAAACACACTGTTGCTTTTTTCTCGTTTTGTAGCTTCCTCCAAATTGCAAACTTGCTCCGTTTGCCACAGTCAATGATAGACAAATAAATCTCTGATTTATAGTGAGTAACGTCAATAGCTAAACGGTATCAGCTCTTTCCAACTTCAAGATTTCCTTCTTTCCATCTCATTGGAGCAGGATCTACAGATAAACATCTTTCGCAACTTTTTACGACTGATTCAATGTCTTTTCTTCAAACTTTTCCTTCGGATATGTCTGTTTCATCAAATAAAGGGTTCGATTTACTCCAAAGTGATGAAGATTATGAAACGACTTCACATCAGGCGGTACAAGATTTGCTGTCATTGCAGAATGGTTTTAATGCAGCCAATTCTGTGGTACCCTCGTAAGAGCATCGCCTTTATTTTCTGCTGACTTAACCAGGAAAAGTTTTAATTGTATACCGCACTCCTTCACAAGGTCTTCAGTTAACGAGAACCGGCGACGGACAAGTGGTTCTCCAGGACCGTGTACTCGAATGGGTTTGTCACCAATGATTAAGGGTTTCAACCAGCCAACAACAGTAGCCGAGTCACACTTTATGGTAATACATTCGAATCCTTATTTTGTTGCTAGATTGATTCCTTTTATCACGATCGTTCACCAAACTTTCCCATCCACAACTACTCGAAACCCTTTTTAGATAGCTGCACAAAGGGCGCAACCAATTTGCCATTGGAAAATGTCCAGTCAGCTGTCCGCACCAAGAAAAGATTTGCCGATGCGTCATTTTTCCTTCAGGAACTTTGGGTATGTTGTCACGTTTTCAACGCACTTGGTTGTTTTGTTTGTACACTCGCAATCCAAGCACACGCCCACCGACAAGTTTTTCTGGCAGCTTAGAATCCAAGCCATATTTTTTAAAGAGTTCTTGAACTCTACAACTTGACTCTATGTTATTATTGACAATGATGTCATCAATAAATGAATCCGTCCCAGACTCGACAACTTTGTCAAAGGATAATACCTTTGTTAAGATTTTTGTCATTATTCTGAGCGCCACATTTAAACCAAAACCCAATCTTGTAAGAAAGTATCGCTGCCCTTCATATTCCACAACACCGGCCGTAAAAACTAAATAACCGTGCAAGATCTCTTAAAAAGCTTTCACCAAATGCTTCTCAAAAGGTCAAAGGGTGTTTTAATAGCGGCATTTTCCTGTAACTAAAAATCTGAGCAATGCGTGCACATTTAAAGATGGCAAAAATATTTTTTATTCAAAATATTAAAAATAAAAAAATCTAAACCTTAATTTAAAAAACTGTTTCTATTAAACCACAGTTCATAATCGTAGAAACAACTCCAGAAAATTTCATCAAAATTGGTAAAACGGTTCTTGAGATAGAACGGCCGGCGTATGGAAAAAGACTATTTTGAGAAAACGCGAAAAGAAAAAAAAATTAGCCCATAAAATTTTGAAACTTTAAGTAAAACACATATTATAGTAAAAATATCTAATGAAAAGTATTAGAAACTTCCTGCTTTATACAACTTCCCTTCTTACTCTTTTTCATTATCATTTTTATTATGTTTTTTGCCACAAATAATTTTTTGTCGCAACTTGTTTTTATCAATATTTCTGTATTTGGAACGTGATAGTCGTTTTTAGTTTAAATTCTTACAACCTTTAAGAGTATATACTCCTGGAATTATTTCCAAAAAAAAAAGAGTAGCCGTGGCGCAGTGTTAGAGTTCTGGCTCAGAACCCAGAGGTTCGAGGTTCGACGCTAGCTCTAGCCCAACAAGCGACATTGGTACGGAAGGAGGCGTGAACTTCTTGTTAAATGCTCTACCGCGGTGCTCTATGATAAGACCGTAAGGACTTCTGGGAGCACCTAAATACATACAAAAAAAAAAAAAAAAAAAAAAAAAATCATAAACTAAAATCGAGGCTTTTCGACCAATGTTAAAATCAGCCACTGCATCATAAACTCCAAATTCTAATTGACTGAATTATATAAATTTCATTTAAGGTAAACGTTCCCAGATAGTGCCATTAAAACTTTCATTAGTATTTTGTGTCTTACCATGTAAGCACTTTTCCAAATGTTGGTCAGCACTGAGTTCTGCAAAGATTGGTTTGATTTTATAAACAATAGCTATTGGTAAACCTGGTCCAGGTTTATAAGTATCTTTTAAGTTGTACCATTGGCTTTATCTGAATTATATTTGCACCAATTATCAGCTCCTACTGGGCAATGTGGAAAGTGATGCCAGAGTACCAGGTTTCATAGATGCTAAATCTCCTACATTAGCTCTAATTGCAATACCAAAATAACTTTGCAACCAATCAATTATTGCATCTGTTAATTTACCTCTACCACCAAGGTTTTTAGTTTTTTTTTCAACTTTCTTAATCTTGTACCTATACGTTTTTATCACATGAAACACCAGTATCAACAATATCAGTATTCAAATCGTGTCTGATTTCTGCAGCAACACACATTGTCTCTATTGCTACTTTTTCACAAATTTAGAGATTTTTTAGCAAGCTTGTCTTAGTTATTTCTAGTCATTGGCGAAGGAATATTCATAAAAGAAGTGAAGTTTTTAAGTCCTG